TTATTAATATTATTATTACTACTACTACTACTATTATTATTGTACTAGTGTATAATTGAACCCTTTACAGACTCAGAGGTTGGATAGATGACCTCCAATGTTCCTCTTGATATATAGTGTTGATGCTTGGGTTATCTTCTTGCGTTTGGGCTGAATGCCGTTTCATTTTCTAGGCTGCATAAATTGATTATTTTAGACGTGGCTTCTTAACTCAGAATTATGACTGAGGTCAACTTAGTACCTTTAGATAATGAATAATGAATGCACGTAGCTCTCCACACAGTTCATTTAGTGACTGTTCAAAGTTACAACAGCGCTGAAAAAAAATGACTTACGCCCGTTTTTCACACTTAAAGACCATTGCAGACGCTTGGCAACTCAGATTTACGACGGTTGCAGTGTCCCGGGCTCACGTGTTCAACATTTGCCACCTTCTGATATTGGGGAAGCCAGATTCACTTAACAGCTGCGTGACTAGCTTAGCAACTGCAGTGATTCATTTAACGACTGTGGCAAGGAAGGTCGCAAAATAGGGCAAAACTCAACTGTCTTATCTAACAGTGAAAATTTTGGGCTCAACTGTGGTTGTAAGTCAAGGACCACAGGTGTTTGTGATGCTCATCTTTTTCTGCAAATTCGTAAAGGACATTGCAGATCATGGTCACGTGACCCTGGAATATCAGGTGTGGTTGTAAAGTGGACCTGCCTGATATTCAGCCCCAGGACTGCGGGGGGGGGGGGGTTGATAGGGCTGGTCGTAAATCAAGGACTGCCTGTTATTCTGAGTGGCTCTTCTGCAATTACAGCCCAATGAAGCCTTTTCAGCCTGTCTCCCGCCTTGATCAGGGGGTTGGACTAGATCACAGGTTGGCAACCTGTGGCTCCGGAACCAAATGTGGCTCTTTGAGCCTTCCCCTGTGGCTCCCAGCCTCCTCTGCCATTTGCAGACAGAGACAGAGAGAGGCAATTGCGCTTCCCTGCTTCTCTCTCTCTCTCTCTCTCTCTCTCTCTGTGTGTGTGTGTGTGTGTGTGTAAAAGAGAGTGGACTCACAGTGTTCTCCGAGGAGCTGAAAAGCTTTCTGGGCGGAGCTCCTCCCTTTGCTGCGTCTCTGCAGGAAGCAGGAAGGGCAGGAGAGAGCTAGCTAGCCCAGCTAGGCTGACTCAGGAATTCTGGGAGTTGAAGTCCATGAGTCATAAAAGAGCCGAGGTTGCCTACCCCTGAGCTTGTTGGAGAACAGCTTGAAGTCAGCTTGCCAGGTGAGCAGAAGATGGGAGGTGGGGGGGAGAAAGAGAGAGAAGGAGAAAGAGAGAAGGAGTGGGGGAAGAGGACTGGCAGACCAAGGGCAGAAAGAAAGAGGGAGAGAGAGGGAGGGAGAGAGAGAGAGACATAGAGAGAGACCCTTTTGATATCTAAAAGGAAGATAATACTGCATATATCCTTTTTTACCTTTATGAGATGTGTGTGTGTGTGTGTGTGTGTGTGTGTGTGTGTATGAATGAAAGGTAAAAAAAGGATATATGCAGTGTTATCTTCCTTTTAGATATCAAAAGGGTTTTGCAGCTCCCAGTGTTTTGTTTTTGATGGGAAACGGGTCCAAGTGGCTCTTTGAGTGTTTTGGATTGCCTACCCCTGAACTACATGATCTCCAAGGTCCTTTCCAACCCTGGGATTCTATGGTTCTTTATCGATTTGGGGAATTTGCTTTCATTGGAAGGGAAGGGAAGGAAGGAAGGAAGGAAGGAGAGAGGGAGACAGGGAAGAAGAAAGGAAGGAAAGAAGGAAGGAAGGCAGGAGGGAGGGAAGGAAGAGGGATTGAAGGAAGGAAGGAAGGAAGGAAGGAAGGAAGGAAGGAAGGAAGGAAGGAAGAGATTGAAGGAAGGAAAGAAGGAAGAGTTTCTGCAGTAGTTTTGCAAAAGCTTTGCATTTCAGATCTTCCTCTCCGATCACCTTGCTGACATTCCTGGCATAGCTGGGTAACAAGTCGGTGGGAGTTCTGGTACTAGGTAAAAGTTTAAAACCAGGTGCCCGATGGAGGGGATGCTTTACTAGATGGGGCCGTGAGAGATGTTCTTGCTTGCTTGCTTGCTTCCTTTCTCTCCCTCCCTCCCTCCCTCCCTCTCTCTCGCTCTTTCTTTCATTCATTCTTCCTTCCTTCATTTTTCCTTCTTTATTTTCTTCCTTCTTGCTTGCTGTATCATTCTTTTTCTCTCCATCTCTTTTCCGTCTTCACACTTTATTCTTTTCTCCCTTCCTTCTTTTCTTTCTTTCTTTCTTTCTTTCTTTTTTCTTTCTTTTCTTCTTTCCTTCCTTGCTGTCATTCTTTTTCTCTCTATCTCTTTTCCTTTCCTTCTTCACTTTATTTTCTCCTTCCTTTCTTCCTTCCTCTATCATTCTTTTTCTCTCCATCTCTTCCTTTTCTTTCCTTCCTCACTTTATTTTTCCTTCCCTCCCTCCTTTCTCTTAAGTGAATCCCTGCAGTTGTTAAGTGAGTAACACAGTTTTTAACTGAATCCGGCTTCCCCTGTTGACTTTGCTTCTCAGAAGATCACAAAAGGGGATCACGTAACCCCAGGACATTGCAACCATCATAGATAGAAGTCAGTTGCTGATTGTCTGAATTTTGATCACAACAGCTGTAAGTGGGGAAAATGGTCATAAGTCATTTTTTCCAGTCCCGTTGTAACTATGAACCATCACTAAATGTTGTCAGTCGTAGCTTTATGTTTATCTATCCAGTTCTATATCAGCTTTTTTTTTTCACATTTTATGCTAGGCTGCTGCATTTCTTGTGCAATTAATGGATATGTTTGCATAATACAAGTTGGCAGCAATTTATGTTTTCAACAGATATCTTTCCCAGTTCCCAAAAATTCCAAAAAGATTTAACAATTCTATTTGTTCAATCCAGAGCCCTAACGTTCCCTGGTTTCTCAGCCAACCCAGAAACCTCAGCTCCAAAAACAAATCAGAAAATTGGAAGGCGGTGGGGACAGAGAAGGAAATCAGAAACAAATCTTTGCAAAAACAGAAATGAAACTAGAAATGAATCTTTGCGAGAAGAGTGATCAGAAAGAAATTTTTGGGAAAAGAGAAAAGAAATCAGAAACAAAATCTTTGCCAGAAGAGAAATGAGATCAGAAGTAAATTTTGCAAAAATGGAAATCAGAAATAAATCTTTTCGGCAAAAGAGAAACCAGGAATAAATCTCTGCAAAAAAAAAAAAAAAAAAAAAAAGAGAGAGAGAGAGAGAGAGAGAGAGATCAGAAATAAATCTGCAAAAAGAGAAATAGGAAACAATTTTTTGCCACGAGATCAGAAATAAATGTTTGCAAAAAGAGAAATGAAATTAGAAATAAATCTCTGCAAAGAGATCAAATATATATATATATATTTTGCAAAAAGAAAAATGAAATCAGAAGTAAATCTCTTGGAAAAAAAAAATTCTTTGGTGTCATATTTACGATGGTTGCAGTGTCCCTGGGGTCACGTGATCCCCTTTTGTGACCTTCTGACAAGCAAAGTCAATGGGGGAAGCTAGATTCACTTAACAACCGTGTGACTAATTTAACAAGTGCGGGGATTCACTTAGCAACCGTGGCAAGAAAGGCTGTAAAATGGGGGCAGAACTCACTTAACTGTCTTTCTTAGCAACAGAAATTTTGGGCTCATTCATGGTCATAAGTTAAGGACTACCTGTAATAAGGTTAGAGTTTCTCAGTCTTGGCAACTAAAAGAGGGGTGCCCAAATTATGGGGATACTGCAAGAGCTGTAAGTGCAGTTTAAGTCACCCTTTTTCAGTGCCGTTGTAACTATGAATGGTTGCTAAATGAATGGTTGTAAGTGGAGGGTGTCCTGTGGATGGAGAAACTGTTACCAAGGTAGGTCATGGGCTTTGGTCACTTAGCAGCACCTGAAATTTGATGGGCTCAGACTGTTTCCAAGGAGGGTTGAGATGATCTCCAATGTTGCTTTAACTTGCTCTTTCTTTCTTTCTCTCTCTCTTTCCTTTCTTCCTCCCTCTCTCCAACCATCTCTTTTTCTCTGTGTTTCTTTTCCTTCCTTCCTTCCTCCCTCCCTCCATCCCATCATCCTTCCTTCCATCTTCCCTTCTTTCCCTCCATCACTCCTCCCTCCCTTTCTTCCTTCCTCCTCCCTCCCTTCCATCATCCTTCCTTCCATCTTCCCTTCCTCCTTCCCCTCCATCACCCCTTCCTCCCTCCCTTCCTTCCTCCCTTCCATCATCCTTCCTTCCATCTTCCTTTCCTTCTTCCCCTCCATCACCCCTTCCTCCCTCCCTCCCTCCCTTCCATCATCCATCCTTCCATCTTCCCTCCCTCCCCTCCATCACCCCTTCCTCCCTCCCCTCCATCATCCCTCCCTCCCTTCCATCATCCTTCCTTCCATCTTCCCTTCCCCTTCCCCTCCATCACCCCTTCCTTCCTCCCTTCCATCATCCTTCCTTCCATCTTCCCTTCCCCTTCCCCTCCATCACCCCTTCCTTCCTCCCTCCCTCCCCTCCATCACCCCTTCCTCCCTCCCTTCCATCATCCTTCCTTCCTTCCTCCTTCCCCTCCATCACCCCTTACTCCCTCCCTTCCTTCCTCCCTTCCATCATCCTTCCTTCCATCTTCCCTTCCCCCTTCCCCTCCATCACCCCTTCCTCCCTCCCTCCCTCCCCTCCATCATCCCTTCCTTCCTCCCTTCCATCATCCTTCCTTCCATCTTCCCTTCCCCCTTCCCCTCCATCACCCCTCCCTCCCTCCCTCCCCTCCATCATCCCTTCCTTCCTCCCTTCCATCATCCTTCCATCTTCCCTTCCCCCTTCCCCTCCATCACCCCTCCCTCCCTCCCTTCCATCATCCTTCCTTCCATCTTCCCTTCCCCCTTCCCCTCCATCACCCCTCCCTCCCTTCCTTCCTCCTTCCCCTCCATCCCTTCCTCCCTCCCTCCCTCCCTCCCTCCCTCATCCTCCCTTCCTTTCTCCCTCCCTCCCTTTAGCTGATAGTTGAAAAGACAGCTGACCAGCCAGCTCCCGAGTACTCCCTGGTAGAAGATGCTGCCCTCCACTTCACGTGTTTGATGGACAGGCTGAACGCGCAGCGCCTTTTCCAGCCTGACTTGTGCGACGTGGACCTTGTCCTGGTAGAGCAGAAGACCGTCTTCCCGGCCCACAAGGGGGTCCTGGCAGCCTACAGCCAGTTCTTTCACTCCCTCTTCAGCCAGAACAAGCAGCTGCAGAGAGTAGACCTTTCTCTGGAGGCCTTGACCTCCGTTGGTCTTCAACAGATTTTGAACTTCATCTATACTTCGAAGCTCTTGGTCAACGCCTCCAACATTCAGGATGTCCTGAATGTGGCCTCTGTCTTACAGATGACCGACATTGCTTCCTCCTGTCAGGAACTCGTCACCACCAGAGCTCTCGGCTTGGCCATGACCAACAATATGGCGTTGACTTCGGACAATTGTAGCAAAGCCACCCCACCTTCTCAGTTCTTCTGTGACATCAAGCAGGAAATGGACCCTCCACGCCCTAAGATCTTCACCCAAGAAGGGAACGTCCCATATTCTGTGCGGGTGGAGGATGGCAACCAAAATCACCCTGCTGTGGCCAACAAGACATTCTACAAGGAAGAGAACCATGGGGGTCCACCTGTCTGCAAGGTGGAAGGGGACGCGTCTGAGGGTCTCCCGGGCAGCCGAGGTTCCTACAGCCATGGTGAGCAGATCATTGTAGAGGTCAACCTTAATAACCAGACCCTCAATGTCTCTAAAGGTGCAGAGGGACAGCTTTCAATGGGCAGCCAAGTGGCTCCAGAAGCTGGACGGCCAGAAGGAGAAGGATGTTCCTCGGTGGTGGACCAAGAGCAGGAAAATGGGGGCAAGGAAGAGGAAGATGATGATGCAGATATGGGCGATGAAGATGAGCACTCGGAAGAGGAAGACCTGGAAGAGGAGGACACCTCGGAAGAGGAGGAAGAAGAAGAGGAAGAAGAAGAGGAGGAGGAAGAAGAGGACAGAGGGGACAATGACAGTAACATAACTGAGATTCGTGGGGAGAAAACTGGAGCACCCCAGAGGACTAGGCTGCTTACCAAGGTCACCAACCCAACCATGTCCCCCAAAACTGGTGAAGTTGCCACTATGATGGAAGAAGGAGAGGAGGGAGAAGATGAAGATGAAGCTGCTGAGAATGACAGCAAGGTCAAGAGAGCTAAGAAGCAGAAGAAGGACCAGGATCCTCCTGGTCAGAAGGTCAAGCTGGAGGAGAAGCAACATTATCCGTGCAAGAAGTGTCCCCGGGTGTTCAACAACCGCTGGTACTTGGAGAAGCACATGAACGTCACGCACACCCGCATGCAGATCTGCGACAAGTGTGGCAAGAGGTTTCTGCTGGAGAGTGAGCTGGTCTTGCACCATCAGACGGACTGCGAGAAGAACATTCAGGTGAGGGGCCCCTGGCGCCATCTTAGGCTTCCTTTCTCCTTCAACCTGGCGCCCTTGAGATCTTGGTGGAAGCTGATCTGCTGGTTGCATAGGTAACCCTCAATTTACAACATTTAGTGACCATTCAGAGTTACAAACAGCACTGAAAAAAAATGACCGAGGACCATTTTTCACACATAGGTGCAACATCCCACACACTCATGACATTTGGCAGCTGACTCATATTTATGACGGTCACAGATCTCTTGACAACCAAAGTCAACGGGGAAAGTCAGATTCACTTAGCAACTATGTGACTAACTTAACAACTGCAGTGATTCATATAATAACTGCGGCAAGAAAGGTTGTAAAATAAAGCGAAACCCTTTTAACGAAATGTCTCACTTTATAACAGAATTTTTTCTTTAAGTTAGTGACACGGTCGTTAAGTGAATCTGGCTTTCCCCATTGACTTTGCTGGTCAGAAGGTTATAAAAGGGGATCACATGACCCCGGGACACTGCGACCGTTCTGCGACTGTCATAAATACAGTCAGTTGCCATGTGTCCCAAATTTTCATCACGCGACCATGGAGAGGCTGCAACGGTCATAAGGGTGAAAAAATGGTCATAAGTCACTTTTTGGGTTAAGTCAATGTCTTCTATATTATTGTTCTTCCCTGTTGTAAATCTGGAGTAGCTGTTTCTATAGGCATCTCAAAATCGCTGGAGAAGAAAGGGAATAATTGTGTACAGGTAGGCCTCGATTTGATCACATGACCACAGGGATGCTGCAATGATCGTAAGTCTCTTTTTTCAATGAGGTTGTAACTTCGAACGGTCACTGAATGAACTGTTATAAGTTGAGAACTACCTGTATTTTGTCAGTCAGAACAATTGTTGTTTTGTCTTTCTTGTAACTGCTTTAATTTTCCCTGAATGCACAACGTGGTATCCAGCAAAATTTCACTTTTGGTTTAGGCCATGGAATGGTCCGTATCAAAGATCTGGGATCAAGTTTAGCTGTGGCTTCTGAGTCAGTTCCCAGTTGAGAAGGACAAGTAAATCTGTGTGCGTTGTGAGTCAAGAGCTGTGCAGTTCAGTGTTATGAGCCAGATTATGAATCTGCCATTTCAATCTGAATTTCTTGCAAAGGGATGCTTTCGTGTTTGTCTGTCCATCCCTGTGTTATCTCTCTCTGTCTCTGTCTGTCTCTCTCTCTTTGTGTGTGTGTGTGTGTGTGTGTGTGTGTGTGTGTGTAACCTGCAGCGCCAGCAAGTGGTCAAAAGCAAAATTGCAGGGAGAAAAAGCAAGAATTTTTGTGAAATTTAATTCTGGATCAGTAATAAGAAAAGCCATGGTTTTTGCTGTAGTCTTTTAAGCAAATCACTGCAGTTTTTATGTGAATCCAGCAGTCATTAAATGAACCTGGCTTCTCCCATTGACTTTGCTTGTCAGAAGGACACAAAAGGAGATCATGTGGCCCTTATAAACATATGCTCATTGCCAAGCTCTTGAATTTTGAACATGTGACCCTAGGCCGCAGGGGTAGGCAACCTTGACTCTTTTATGACTGGTGGACTTCAACTCCCAGAATTCCTGAGCCTGCATGGCTCAGCTTGGCAATCTCTCCCTTTCCCCTCAGCATGGCTGGCTCAGGAATTCTGGGAGTTGAAGTCCACACGTCTTAAAGTTGCTGAGCTGGAGAAAAATGGACTAGCCAGGGATAGGCAACCTTGGTTCTTTTATGACTCGTGGACTGCAATTCCCAGAATTCCTGAGCTAGCCATGTTGAGGGGAAAGGGAGAGGTTTCCAAGCTGAGCCATGCCGGCTCAAGAATTCTGGGAGTTGAAGTCCACGAGTCATAAAGCAGCCTAGGCCTAGACCAGGGGTAGGCCACCTTGGCTCTTTTATGACTCGTGGACTTCAACTCCCAGAATTCCTGAGCCAGCCATGCTGAGGGGAAAGGGAGAGGTTTCCAAGCTGAGCCATGCTGGCTCAGGAATTCTGGAAGTTGAAGTCCACGAGTCATAAAGAGGCCTAGGCCTAGACCAGGGGTAGGCAACCTTGGCCCTTTTATGACTCATGGACTTCAACTCCCAGAATTCCTGAGCCAGCCATGCTGAGGAGAAAGGGAGAGGTTTCCAAACTGAGCCATGCTGGCTCAGGAATTCTGGGAGTTGAAGTCCACCAGTCATAAAAGAGCCAAGGTGGCCTACTCCTGACAGGGGATGCTGCAACAGTTGTAAGTGTCAGGATAAGTTGTGAATCACTTTTTCCAGTGCCGTTATATGGTCACTAAAGGACTGATGTAAGTCAAGGACTATTTATAAAAGGAGAGAAGCTAGAACGGTAATTCTCAACCTTGAGAACTTTAAGAGCAGTGGACTTCAACTCCCAGAATTCCCCAGCCAACTGCTTGCTGGCTGGAGAATTCTGGGATTTGAGGTCCACTTCTGTTAAAGTGACCCAAGTTCAAAAAGCTGAAATAATCAGGTTCATTGATCCAAGTAATATTGGCAACCAGTTGATAGTCCAATATAGATAAGAATAAGTCTGACTGAAGAAGAAAGCTTAATCATGTACAAGCAGTCCTCGACTTATAACCATTTGTTTGGTGACCATTCAAAGTTACAACAGCACTGAAAAAGGGACTTAGGACCGTTTTTCACACTTACGACCATTGCAGCATCCCATCGTCACGTGATCAGAATTCAGATGTTGGCAGCTGACTCGTATTTATGACGGTTTCAGTGTCCCGGATTCCCTTTTGAGACTTTCTGACAAGCAGAGTCAACAGAACTATGGAGATACTCAGTCACCCAGGTCATAGTTGTCCCAAATATGCTTTTTCAGGAGGCAACTGGACTTTCTTGTTTTCCTTTGAAGACATTTCGCTTCTCATCGCAGAAGCTTCTTCAGCTCTGACTGGATGGTGGGGAAGGGAAGGACTTATACTCCTTGCAGACAGCCGGTCATTTGTCTTCTTTGAGAGAGTCATTGAGGCCACCTGGAGGTTTAATCTGTGTCCTCGGGGTCCCCTGAGTGGTGCAAATGGGTGTGGAGCCTTCTTGGAATTACTGAAAGGACTGTATTGTAGACTGGATATAGCTGATGTCGTATCCCTCCCCCTCTGTTGAGAGGAGGCTGTTCAGATTTGACCTAGATGGCCTCTTTGACCCCTCTTTCAAACCAGCGGTCCTTCCTGTCCAGAATGTGGACTTTGCTGTCTTCGAAAGAGCGGCCTTCGTCTTTCAAATGCAGATGGACTGCTGACTCTTCTCCTGATGGGTTTGCTCTCCTATGTTTGTGCCAGGCGTTTGTGAAGTGGTGGTTGTGTTTCCCCATAAAAAGTCGAGGACTACCTGTATAAGCTTGGAAGACAAATGGATTTTAATGTCAACTCTTATAATATTAAAACTGGAAGTCAGTCGATAGATTTGCAGCCTGACAGAGGTGACCTCTGGGTCTTCTTCCTTGCAGTGCATGACTTGTGGGAAGGTTTTTAAGAAGCTCTGGTCCCTCCATGAGCACAACAAAATTGTCCACAATTACGCCGAGAAGAAATTCTCCTGCGAGATCTGTGAGAAGAGGTTCTACACAATGGCACACGTGCGGAAACACATGGTTGGTGAGTAGGGTGGGGAATGCATGGAGAAGGGCAGGATTGGAGACCTAAGGACCACCTAGAACAGGGGTGGGGGACCATGGCCCTTTTATGACTTGTGGACTTCAACTCCCAGAATTCCTTAGCCAGCCATGATTAGTATGGCCAGCTGAGGAATTCTGGAAATTGAAGTCCAGAAGTCTTAAAAGGGCAATGGTTCCCCACCCCTAATCCAGAAGCCATCCGATTCCATTTCCTTTCAGTTGCAACCCATACAGGTAGTCCTCGACTTATGACTGGTCGCTTTGATGTTATGACCAATAAAAAAAAAAGACTTAAAACTGATTTGGACTTAGGATGGCCAGGCCTCCTTCTTCCATCATGTGAGCGAACTTGTGCTCGGCAACATGGCTGTCTTTTATGACATTTTTGTCAAAACCCACAACTTACGTTCTTTGTTCAGCAAAACTGTGTCCATAGCAGACTGCTGATTCACTTAATGACCACAGTGTTCATGTAATGATCACAGCATTTACTTAATGACCGCTGTGTTCACTTTACAATAGCCATATTCGCTTAATAGCCGCTGCAAAAGATGTTGTGGAATCAACTCATTTTACCACCGTCACAATATATGACTATAATGGGCAGGCTCCATTATGGTTGTATATAGAGGAGTACCTGTATGTCCAGCTGTCATGAATGGGTGGAAGCTGTGTCTAACAACTTCTGGAAAAATAAAAATCCCCAATTGCCTCCAACCAGCTGAGTCTCTGGAAGTGATCCTCGGTATGACAAATTGTGACAATTAATATTATTCCAGTTGTGCTCTCCTAATGTGATTGTGTTAGATCTCTAATTGGCACTTCAGTTCCAAATTAAGTTCCCCATAAGAGTCGTAAGATGTTTCTAGATGATTTTCTTTCCAAAGCTTCGGTAGAGGCCAAGTTGAAGACATCTGTGTTCCTTCAAGACATTCAGTCCCTGTAACTGAATTAAAATATAACTTGTGGAGTCCTTGGTGGTTTCTAAAGTTGGTTGTTTTCTTGCAGATGTTTCATTACCAAATCTTAACCAGCCAGTGCACTGATGATGTTACCTAGTTGGGTCATGAAACATCTGCAAGTAAACAACTAATCTCAGAGAGTCCCAAGAATCACACAGTCGTCCTCCTCCTCCTCTTCCTCCTCCTCCTCCTCTTCCTCTCCTCCATAAATCCCTCTCCCTTCTAGCAGTGATGGTGTTACCTAGTTGGGTCATGAAACATCTGCAAGAAAACAACCAAACACCAAGGACCCCATTCTCCTCCTCCTCCTCCTCCTCCTCCCAACGCTGAGCTACAAATATTCTGTTCTATCAGGAAAATGTGAGCCCCATTGGACAGCCGTTTGTCCAGGATGGTATAAGATCTCCTGCTCAAGCTGGGGATTGGACTACAAGACCTCCAAAGTCCCTACCAACTGTGACTCTCTCTGTCTTGTGTCATTTCCCAAACTGAGTTGGCTGTTGGCCTTATTCTGGGGTCCGTCCTTCTTTATGGCCTCTCCCAGCAGAGATGGCCTTAGGGCCTGTGTCTTAAGCTAAGCCAACCATGTAACTGTGTTCAGCAGGTCAGCGGTTCAAATCTCACCGGCTCAAGGTTGACTCAGCCTTCCATCCTTCCGGGGTAGGTAAAATGAGGACCCAGATTGTTGGGGGCAATGTAAATATATATATATACATTGCTTACTGGTGTAGACCGCTTAGAGAGTGCTTGCACTTAAAGCGGTATATAAGTCTCATAAATAAATAAATAAATAACTGGGCTCAGCCTATCCAGAAGTCTTTAGAACGGCGCCCCCCAACTTTGGGGCACCAGGGACCGGTTCCATGGAGACAGGCTGGCGTGGTTTTGTGTGCTGCCTGAATCCCACGGATGGGGCTTTGCTTGTTTGCCCGGACCGGCTTCTGGCGTGCTGTGGACCGGTGTCGGGCCACAGACCGGGGGTTGGAGATCCCTGCTTTAGAAGACAACCCCGATTTTTCTTTGCTTTGTAGCTCACACCAAGGACATGCCGTTCACCTGCGAGACGTGTGGGAAATCCTTCAAACGCAGCATGTCTCTGAAAGTCCACTCTCTGCAGCACTCGGGCGAGAAGCCGTTCAAATGCGAGGTGAGGATCCACCCTTTAAAGCCCAGTCCATTTCCTGAGATGTGGAAGAACATCCTTGAAAGGATTAGTAAACCCAACTTTGCAGGTAGTCCTCGACCTACAGCCGTTCATTTAGTGTCTGTTCGTCGTTAAAACGGTACTGAAAAAAAGTGAGGACCGTTTTTCACACTTACGACCGTCACAGCATCCCTACATGATCAAAATCAAGACGCTTGGCAACTGATGGTCGCAGTGTCCCAAGGGACACGTGATCCTCTTTTGCGACTGTCTGACAAGCAGAGTCAATGGGGAAACCCAAATTCATTTAACAACCATGTGCCTAACTTAACAAGTGCAATGATTCACTTAACAACGGTGGCAGGAAAGGTCGTAAAATGGGACAGTTTTAGCTTGGAAGCTGTCTCGCTTAGCAACAGAAATGTTGGACTCTGATGCAGTTGTAAGTCGAGGACTACCCGTATGTCAAACTCTACCATAAGGCATAGGAGATTTTTCTTGTTTCTACCAAATGACATCTGATCTGTCCCTCTCTTCATTTCTCTTAAAAAAAAAGTCATGCGTAATCGTGGATAACAATGAATGGCCTATGCACGAAAGACCTTGACTAACAACCATTGGTCTAGCACAGTGGTGGCAAAACTATGGCACGCGTGCCTTGCTCTTTGGCTAAGTTTTCGCAGGAAAAAGTCATTTCTCTTCCTAGCCAAAACAAGCCTCCGGAGAGAGCATGCTGCTTTCAGCTTTGAATTATATCAAATCTGACACCAGAAACAGACTAACAGATGACCTGCATGTGTTGCTCTCAAACTTACAAAGTATGAGCCAAGGTTAGACAAATTATCAGCATGCATACAACAGCAAAAATCATATTAATTGTTCAAAAGCATGCCAAATGCAGACTTTTACCTTTCAATAAAAAGTTGTTTGTATCATTGAAAGCTTTGTTATGGTGTCTTTCTTGTAAGACAAAAGATGTTAATATATTAGTTGTTTTTTTTTCTAAACTAAAACATCACTATTCAGATAATGATGATGATGATGATGATGTTGGAAGGGACCTTGGAGGTCATCGAGTCCAACCCCCTGCTCAGGCAGGAACCTTACACCATTTCAGACAAATGGCTGTCCAGTCTCTTCTTAAAAACTTCCAGTGTTGGAGCATTCACTGCACTTTGCGAAAAATAAGTGGGTTTTGGGTTGCAGTTTGGACATTCGGTCTCTAAAAGGTTTGCCATCACTAGTCTAGCAACAACAGCACTGAAAAAAAATGACTTACAGTCGATCCTCACACTTACAACCATTGCAGCATCCTCAGGAACCCCTGATCACAATTTGAGTGCTTGGTAACCCCATGTGTATTTACAAAAGTGTCTTTTGCGAACTTTCCGACAAGCAAAACCAATGGGGGAACCCAGATTTGCTTAACACCCTGTAGTTCGCTTTACAATGGCAGTGACTCCCTTAATATTTTATTTATTTTCTAATTTTACACTTAGTTGAAAAAAGGATTCTATTTGTTTAATATTTAAAAATTAGACCCCCCCCCAAAAAATTACAAATATATTTGATTTATTGATTAACCCAGGCTATATCTATCTATCTATCTATCTATCTATCTATCTATCTATCTATCTATCTATCTATCTATCTATCTATCTATCTATCTATCTATAGTTTTGATTTATTAAAGAGGGTACTGTATTATTAATTAGATGATATAATATGGTGGGAAATAGATAACTTTTAGGAAACAGAACAAGACTATACCCAAATAGATAAGATGTGTATTTGGGAATATTAGATTCTGTTATGAATTGAGATAAGAGAAACTTCAGTTACCTAAAGCCTGGAAATTATAAATATCAAATGTTAAATTTGAATATTGATGGGAAACTAAAAATTGGGAAAAATCAATAACAGGACATTGATTGTCCATAAAGATTGAATGTAAAAGTAATTAAAGTATGTATAAGCTAAAAATTTATTGATAAATGTAATAATGATGTTTTACTTAGTTGGTATAATAAGAACTGTATTAGCTTAAATACGAGATAGTACATATTAAGGGAAAAAGAGAGGAAATATTTGATGTTGTAACTTGAGATTTGTACAAAAGATTTTTGTAGGTTATTGGACTATTGATTAACCCAGCCACCCCGTTGCTTTTTAAATACCTAAATGATTCCCTGGCCAAAAGGTCGTAAAATGGGACGAGACTCACTTAACGGCCTGGCTTAGCCATGAAATTGTTGGGCTCAATTGTGCTTCTAAGTCGAGCAGTATCACATTTGCAAATCACAGGAATGGCCTATCAAAGCGTTTAATGTTTTTCACCTTAACCTGGATTTTCAGACGTAAAAGGTGAGATTTTCTATCCATAATGTAGTTTCTAATTTATTCCTCTTTAGCATTAAGTAGTCCTCGACTTAACAATCGTAATTGCACTATTGCAATTATAATTATGACTGGTTGCATGTATGTTACCAGGAAACGCCTGTTTCCTACGAAATTGATGTGTTTCTTTCTTTTTTTTTCTTTCTTCCTTCCTTCCTTCTTTCCTTCCTTCCTTCCTTCCTTCCTTCCTTCCTTCCTTCCTTCCTTCCTTCCTTCCTTCCTTCCTTCCCTTCCTCCTTCCTTCATCTTTCTTTCTTTCTTTCTCCCTCCCTCCCTCCCTCCCTCCTTATCTTCCTTCCTTCCTTCAATCTTTCTTTCTTCTTTCTCTTTTTTCCTTCAATCCTTTTTCCTTCCTCCCTCCCTCTCTCCCTCCCTCCCTTCCTTCCTCCCTCCCTCCCTCTCTCCCTCCCTCCCTTCCTTCCTTTCTTGCCTTCCTTCAATTTTTCTTTCTTTTTTCTTTCTTTCTTTCTTTCTCCCTCCCTCGCTGCTTGCCTTCCTTCCTTCCTTCCTTCCATCCATCCCTCTTCCTTCCTCCCTCCCTTCCTCCCTCCTTATCTTCCTTCCTTCCTTCAATCTTTCTTTCTTCTTTCTCTTTTTTCCTTCAATCCTTTTTTCTTCCTCCCTCCCTCTCTCCCTCCCTCCCTTCCTTCCTCCCTCCCTCTCTCCCTCCCTCCCTTCCTTCCTTTCTTGCCTTCCTTCAATCTTTCTTTCTTTTTTCTTTCTTTCTTTCTCCCTCCCTCGCTGCTTGCCTTCCTTCCTTCCTTCCTTCCTTCCTTCCTTCCTTCCTTCCTTCCTTCCATCCATCCCTCTTCCTTCCTCCCTCCCTTCCTCCCTGCCTGCCTGCCTTCCTTCCCTATCCTTCCTTCCTTCCTTCCTTCCTTCCTTCCTTCCTTCCTTCCTTCCTTCCTTCCTTGCCTTCTTTTCTTTCCTTCCTTTAATCCCTCTTCCTTCCTTCCTTCCTTCCTCAATCTTTCTTTTTCCCTTTCTTTTTCTTTTTTCTTTCTTTCCCTTTTTCTTTCCCTCTTTTTCTTTTTCTTTCTTTCTCTTTCTGTCTCTTTCCTTCTCTTTCTTTAACCTTTCTCTTTTGTGAATCCACCCAGAATTGCAATGAGCGGTTCCAGTACAAATACCAGCTGCGTTCCCACATGAGTATCCACATCGGCCACAAGCAATTCATGTGCCAGTGGTGTGGCAAAGACTTCAACATGAAGCAGTATTTTGACGAGCACATGAAAACACACACAGGTGAGACCGTGTTATTCCCGCCTCCTTACCTCAGTTTTCCTGCTTTTTCCCGTTTATACCTGGAAGAGCCGGCAACTCGCTGGTGCAACCTGGCTGGTTGATCCAGCATTTGTGAATGCTCACGTTCAGACTGGATGTGGGTCTCAAGGCAAGCGCAGCTCAGAAGCCCAAGCCACACAACTCCTCGACTTAACGACCCCAATTCAGCCCCAGCTTTCTGTCACTAAACAAGGCAGTTGTTAAGTGAGTGTCGCCACAGTTGTTAAGTGAACCCACTTCAGTTGTTACGTTAGTAACACAGTTGTGAAGTGTGAACCTGTCTTCCCCATTGACTTTGCTTGTCTGACGGTCACAGAAACAGGATCACACTTAAAATGGGGCAAAACTCACATAACAACTATCTTATTTAGCAATCGGGATTTTGGGCTTGGTTATGATCGTAAATCAATGGCTACCAGTATATCATATTGATTCACACAGAAGAACAGAGTTGGAAGAGATCCTGGAGATCTTCTAGTCCACCCATCTTTGTGGCTTGGCTGAGGGGTGGGGTGGGGAAAGGAACCAGGCTGACATGCATGCCCATGCACCTCCACTTGTGTGAGCAGCGGCCCAGCACACATGCGTATGCGCACCGGCCCAGCGCTCATGTGAGTGAAGCTGCACACACACATCAGCCACCCCGCGCACAGCCCGGTTTTGAGTAGGCCAAGGTCAGGTAGTGGCCCAGCAGGGGGTGGGGACCCCTGTTCTAGCCCAACCCCCCTGTCCAAACAGGAGACTCTAGACCAGGGGTAGGCAGCCTTGGCTCTTTGATGACTCGTGGACTTGAACTCCCAGAATTCCTGAGCCAGCCATGCTGAGGGGAAAGGGAGAGTTTCCAAGCTGAGCCATGCTGGCTCAGGAATTCTGGGAGTTGAAGTCCACCAGTCATAAAGCGGCCTAGGCCTAGTCCAGGGGTAGGCCACCTTGGCTCTTTATGACTCGTGGACTTCAACTCCCAGAATTCCTGAGCCAGCCATGCTGAGGGGAAAGGGAGAGGTTTCCAAGCTGAGCCATGCTGGCTCAGGGATTCTGGGAGTTGAAGTCCACGAGTCATAAAAGAGCCAAGGTGGCCTACCCCTGGTCTAGCAGGCTCACTGCTTAGAACAGGAGGACTTAGGACAGGGTTAGACAACCCTGGCTCTTTTATGACTCGTGGACTTCAACTCCCAGAATTCCTGAGCCAGCATGGCTCATCTTGGAAACTTCTCCCTTTCCCCTCAGCATGGGAAAGGGAGAGGTGGCTCAAGAATTCTGGGAGTTGAAGTCCACGAGTCATAAAAGAACCAAGGTTGCCTACCCCTGCCCTAGGCCATTTCACAACTACTTAAAGACAAGAGTAATTGTTCTAACTGTCAGGAAGTTCCTCCTTAGTTCCAGGTTGCTTCTCTCCTTGGTTAGTTTCCACCCATTGTTCTGCCTTCTGGGGCTTTGGAGAAGAGGTGGACCCCCTCTTTTTCCTGGCAGCGCTTTAGATATTGGAATGCTTCTTATGCCAACTTCTGGGTCCCATCCTAACCCACACCTCTGACTCGGTTTCCCACTTCTCTCCTTAAAAATCGGTTCTGATCCAAAGGTGACCATTTTAAGAAAACATCTCTGAGTCTCTGTCTTTTGTGTCCTGCTTCTCCAGGTGAAAAACCATACATCTGTGAGATCTGTGGGAAAAGCTTCACCAGTCGTCCCAACATGAAACGCCACCGGCGGACACACACCGGAGAGAAGCCCTACCCTTGCGACATCTGTGGTCAACGGTTCCGGTTTTCCAACATGCTCAAGGCGCACAAGGAGAAGTGTTTCCGAGTCAGCAACTCACCAGCTGCAGATCCCAATCGAGATACAAATTCTCTTGGTCTCCTCACTTCTCCAAATGCCAACTCAACTCTTTTGACTGCTGGTGTTCCTCTCCATTCGACCTCGCCTTCCCACGTGCTTCCTTTGCCTATTAGACATCCTCATGCACACCCCATACCTCCTCCTCCTCCTCTTCTACCCCCACCACCAGCTCTTTTCCCCGGTAGCAGATTGAACATGGACAACTAGACTTCAATCAACTTCTGGTGCATGAAACTTGCCTTGTAATTCTCAAGGATTCCCCAATGCCATTGATTGTGGTGGGTTTGTGATGAGCGGGCATCATGTTTGGGTTTAGTTTGAGGGACCTGAGGTTGTTGCTTCTTCAACGGAAGCATCCAGAACTTTGAGATCTTCAACAGAAGCATCTAGATTCTAGACTCTAGAACCTTGAGATTATGGTTGCTACTCAAGCCATGAAGATAACATTGTTGATCTTTTTGCTCATGGAAGAAGTCAGCCTAGTTTTGCTTGACCTGCTCTTCTGAGATGCTTCCAACTCCTATAGCCGGAGAAGAAACTGAGGAGTTATTTCTTGACTCTGAAGACCTTGAGAAGATGCCTTGATAGAGCTTACAAGGTAGGAAGACACAGGCAAGGACTTTCTGAACTTATCTGGTCAGATATGGGTTTGGAGGGATCAAAAGCAGATAGTTTCTCTTGGAGGTTGAAATGGGAGATGCCTTCACCCAAGTCAAGAAGCTTGTAAGGGAGCACGTCAGCTTTTTAATGGGCCTCTGAATGGGAATGGAGAAATATGGAAACCTTGCTTCATGGAACTGAAAGGAAATGGCAAGATGTGGACAATAAAACTGTCCTTGATGTGAGAAAGTGGATTCTCAAGTGTGTGACCTTGTAACAGCTTCTTCCAAGGTCAGCTTCTCATTCATTTGCTCTTGCCTATCCTTTGGTACAACTTTCTGTTTTTCAACTTTTGTAGCGTGAAGCTCAACTGGCCTCTTCTGAAGGTGATATCACTAAAGATGAAATTCTTCCCTCACTAATAGTCCCTTGAAAACAGTAAGATCCCTTTCCTTGATTATCAATGAGGCTTAAATCCAGCATCTTTACATATTATGGAATCCTCATGCAGCCTAGACACCATAACTAAGTCTATAAATTTTGATTTCTACTCTACACCTACTATTCTTGAGGAAAACGCACTTCCTGAAGAACCTCTTCTAAAATTAACATTACCTTCTCTGCAAGCTCTGTGGAGGAAGAAGGCGTTGAGCCTTTAAAGACATTTTTAAACATGAAACGTTGGTTCCTTTAACTTTGTTTTTGTTTTTTGCACTTTATTATCTAATCCTAAGAGCTCTTTTGCAATAGGACCTTTGTGAGTCCTTCTAGAAGAACAGAACTCGGGGGCGTCGTTGGTTGAGTTGTTCTACGGTTGTCTTTTCATTTCCAAGGCAAAGACCCCCAAGACAAAATGGGCCATATTTCAAAGATTGACCCATTGTATGGTAGAGTCGCACGCTGTAAGTATTTCACAGGAGAAAGGTGTTCCTTGATCCGACGTTCGCATCTTTGGTGAAGTTTGATGGATTCTCTTTGACGAGAAGATCCAAGAACTTTGTTGGTTGATGTGTATGTCCATATGAGCAGGGCTGGCCCCTGGAACAACCATCACAATGCACAAACGGACAAGGAAATGCTGCGGAAAGGCTGTGACGTCAGCAAATGTGCAATAACAATGAACTGGTGGACAAAAGACACATATTGATTGTGGTTTATTGTCTGTCTATTCCTTCCTGACCAAACTCTTAAAATGATAGTTAAGATTAGAAAGAGAGAGACTCTTAACATCCTTTGAAACTTCTCTACAGATAATCCTCAGCTTATGACCGCAATTGAGATGTCCGTTGTTGAGCAATGCAGTCGTTCAGCCGCATCTAATTTGACAGCTGTTTTTTGCCACGATTGTTAAACGAGTCAGGCGGTCATTAAATGAATTGCATGGTTGTTAAGTGAATCTGGCTTGCTCCACTGATCTTGCTTGTCAGAATCCACCTGGGAAGGCTGCGAATGGCGATCACATGATCCCGGAATCCTGCAACCATCCTAAAAGTACATGCTGGTTATCTGAATTTTGATCAGATGACTATCGATAGTCGTAAGTGCAAGGACCAATGGTAACTATTTTTTTAACACTGTCAAATGGTAATGAAAGAAATGGTCGTAAGTTGAGGAATATCTATAGTATATTTAGGAAGGAAGGAAGGAAGGAAGGAAGGAAGGAAGGAAGGAAGGAAGGAAGGAAGGAAGGAAGGAAGGAAGTCCAACTAATTTTATGATTGCCTGCTATTTGACCACCTAATATTTTTATGGCATTTGTTATCTACTGCCCAGTTATCCATAAAAGCAAAAAATAATGCTCACCAATAAATCTTAGTATTGGAAAAATACTTTATTCTGTATAGATCTATGGAAGGGGAAATCTGAGATCCCCCCCTTTTTTTAGAGCATCTTAAGAATTCCTGTTGAAAAAACATTGCGGCGTTCCTTTTAAGCGCAGCTGGGGAAGGTTTTTCCACAATCCTAATCATCACACTAATGGGTGTCCACTTCCAAACAAGTGGGGGGTATGCAAGTAGTCCTCAAGTTAAGACCAGAATGGAGCCGTCCAAATGTAGGGCATTTTTTTTTAGCTTTATTGCGGTGTCATTGAACGCTGCCATTACCAAGCAAATATATTGTTCCCTATAGTTATGGTTTTGCTGAAAACCGTAGTAAGTGGTGCTTTACAAAACCATTGTAAAACATCACGTGCCTGCTGGATTTTGCCGAGTGCCCAGAATTCAGTCATGTGACCTTGGAGAAGTGTCGGAACATAGAAACTGGGCCTTAATCCTCTTTTGGGGGGTCTGTCGTAACTTCAGAGGTTCACTAAGTGACCAGTTGTAATTCAAGGATTAGCTGTACTTTATAGTGCTCTTAGAAGCAAGGAGCATCAGGAGAAAGGTTTAGGAATAGATCTGAATCAATATACTTGTAGTAGGATAATTAACTTCTCTTCCCCATAAATCTTGCCCTGTAAATGTGCTAGATTCGCACACGATCCTCTTCTGCACACCAAAATACCCTTTTAAGTGGCAGAGGGGAGAGGGAGGGAACAGTTGCTTACCTAAACATATTTCAGGCTGCTTCTCGTTCTTGTGGCCCGTAATTCCCTATGCCTTTCTCCGAATGGATGAAATTAAGAAGCGTTCGAAATTCCTGCCAAGCTGCTAGTCCTCTTGAGGAGACTCATGCTTGCTGAGTTTTGAAGGAGATCTGACTTGAGTTAGCTGTTTGTGAGACGTGTATCTGCCCTTCTGCACGTTAACGAGGGTGTGTGTGTCTTTTGCACTAGTGATAAGATTTCACGAGAATTGTACTCAGTGCTCCCTTCCTGAAAATGGGTTCAGCACCTGTCACCCCAGGTGCTGGCAATGGGATTAAGGACTCCGGGTCTTTGGAGAGCTAATTGTAAGTAGTGCAAAGTTTACGTCAAACTTGGAAACCCACCTTTTAAACCTAGAATAAAAGGGTGATTTCGCTATGACTGCCCTGTTCTTGCAGAGACTGTAATTGTTCTCAACAAACAACCATAACGAGGTTACGTTGTGATGACTGTAAGTCAGATCGGTCGAACGACCTTGTTTGTGGCAGTTGTTAAGTGAATGCAGCAGTTGTAAAACCAACTGCATGGTCACGTGACCGCAGGATGCCAAAAGTGACCACAAATGCAGCCATATTGCTGAGTACTCAAAGCCATGTGATCAGAGGATAGTGACTGTCACAACTTTTTCCAGGAAAGTTGTAACTTCAAACAGTCGTTAAGCAGCAGGGCTTATGTCAAGGTCTACCTGTACTGCAGTGTTTCTCAACCTTGGCAACTTTAATGCATGTGGACTTCAACTCCCAGAATTCCTCAGTCAGCCATATTGGCTAGAGAATTCTGGGAGTTGAAGTCCAAGCCTCCTAAAATTATTGTGTGAAACCCACTAAATGTGTTTGCATTACGTTTGCATAACCGTTTTTGGGGAAATTCAGGAATTCTTTCAGCATGCCTGGAGGGTATCAGAACAGGAAAACCTTGGCCAGAACTAAACCTGAGTTTGCTTCTAATAAAAGACTTTCATATTTTAAAAAGAGTTTTTTCTTTTTCTTCTCTTAACTCATCCCTGCAATGTTTTACAGTTGGCCAAAAAAGTTGGATGTCCCCTGCTCCACATCTTCCTTGCAAAGTGTTATCGTTAAAAAGGTGAAGGATTTTTGATTTAAAAAAAAACCTTTTCATTCTAGGGCAGTGATTCTCAACCTGTGGGTCGGGACCCCATTTGGGGTCGAACGACCATTTCACAGGGGTCGCCAAACAACGCAGTCCGCCATTTTTTCCCCCTTTTCCTTAGCTGTGCTACTCCCTTTTATTCTATTGGCTTTTGAAAGCCTATAGAATAGACTCTCTTGAACAGAGTCTAATTCTATTGGTTTTCAAAAGCCAATGGGAATTGTCCAGGCTATCTCTGCCCTGTTGAGCCTGCCAAAAGTCCCATTCTGCAAACGGTGCTACACCAGTTGAGTAGTCCTCAACTTACGACCGGTTGAGTAGTCCTCGACTTACGACCGGTTGGGGGTCACGGCATTAAAAAAGTTGAGAACCACTGTTCTAGGGAGTCCTCAGAGACCAGAACATCCATTGCTAAGCAAGATGGTTGTTAAATGAGTTTTGCCTCTTTTTATGACCTTGTTTTTCTGTCATGGTTCCTGCATGGTAGCTGGAGACCATCAAAACTGACACCAACCAGAGCAGAGAAAAACTCTGCTTAACTCGCCTTAAAAACAATTTGTTTAGTGATCAAAGTTACAAAGGCGCCTAAAAATGACTTAGGATCGTTTTTCACACCTAACAACCATTGCAGCCTCCTCAGGGTCACATGATCAAAATTCAGATGCTTGGCAACTGACTCATATTTATGACGGTCGCAACGTCCTGGTGTCACGTGATCCTCTTCTGCGAGCTTCTGACAAGCAAAGTCAATTTGGGAGGCCAGACTCACTTAACAACCATGTTACCGAGGTAACTAACAACCGCAATCGTTCACTTAACAACTGTGGCAGGAAAAGTCATGAAAAGGGGACACAAAATTCACTTAACCACTGTCTCACTTAGCAACAGAAATGTTGAGGTCATCTGTAATGTCAGATCACGCCAAGAGACGCAGAAAGCCTGGTCCATAGAATCGCCAAGAGTCGGACACAACGGATAAACTCCATCATCATCAGACTTGAGTTGACTCTTGTTGAAATCTAGCTGCCCAGATGTTCTATTACACCCCAAAATTGAACGTGGACACAGACCCTCTTGCCCTCATCCTGGTTTCTCGATAGAGGCGACAGACAAGGTTTTGCAAAACCAGCATCTTTATTATTTCGACCTAACGAAACCCAGCTGAGGCGGAAACCACGATAGAGACGTTTCAAAGTTGGCGCAGAGAAAAGGCAACGAGGCACGTGCGAAAGGCCCCACATCATCAAGGTAGATTCGGACACGCGGTTACATCTTGGTCAGCCGTAAGACGTTGAGGCGCACAGGAAGAAACGTGGCGCTGGAGGCATATTGGATCTCTCGGAGAACCCCTTCCCACTTCTTGCCCTCTTCGTCGTACCTGGAAAAGCCACACACCTTTGTTACGGGATGAATGGATCTTGGATGATCACATTGGCTGAGTTGCAATAAGATTTAAAAAAAAAAATCAAAATACTGCCGTAGGGAAGGTGTTACATTACTGAGGTTGTAGTCATAGAAGAGAAAGTTTGAAGGTTAGGGTTGAACTGGGATGGGGGGGGGGGAAATCTTTGATGGTTTCTGACCTTGAGTTTTTTTCTTGCAGATGTTTCATGGCCTAAGTAGGGAATCTCATCAGTTTTAGAGGGGTGGGGTTTCCCGGGTGGAGGAGGGGGACTGTGGGGTCCTTGGTGCTCTCTGCACTTGGGGGGGGGTGTTCTTTTGGACGTTTCAAGGCCCAACTAGATTACATCATCAGTGCTAGAGGGGTTTGTGTGGAAGAGGAGGAGGGGGCTGTTGGGGTCTTGTTGCTCTCTGAGGTTAGTGATTTCCTTGCAGATGTTTCATGACCCACCTAGGTTACATCAGCAGTACTGATGAATCCCCTTCTCTTCTAGCCCTGAGGAAATTACTGAGTTGGGTCATGAAACGTCTGCAAGAAAACCACCAAGCTCAGAGAGCACCAGGGACCCCACAGTCTTCCTCCTCTCCTCCTCCTCCTCTTCCTCCTCCTCCTTCTCCTCCTCCTCCTATTGATGATGTTACCTAGTTGGGCATGAAACATCTGCAAGAAAACCACCAAGCTCAGTGAGCACCAAGGACCCCACAATCCTCCTCCTCCTCCTCCTCTTCTCCGGAAACCCCCCTCCCTTCTACAGGTGATGATGTTACCTAGTTGGTTAATAAAACATCTGCAAGAAAACCACCAAGCTCAGAGAGCACCATCAAGGACCCCACAATCCTCCTCCTGCTCCTGCTCCTCCTCCTCCTGCTCCTCCTGCTCCTCCTCCTCCTCTTCCTATTGATGATATTACCTAGTTGGGCATGAAACGTCTGCAAGAAAACCCCCAAGTTCAGAGAGCACCAAGGACTCCACAGTCCTTCCTCTTCCTCCTCTTCCTCCTCCTCCTCCTCCTCCTCCTCCTCCTCCTCCTCCTCTTCCTATTGATGATGTTACCTAGTTGGGCATTAAACATCTGCAAGAAAACCCCCAAGTTCAGAGAGCACCAAGGACCCCACAGTCCTTCCTCTTCCTCCTCCTCCTCCTCCTCCTCCTCCTCTTCCTATTGATGATGTTACCTAGTTGGGCATGAAACGTCTGCAAGAAAACCACCAAGCTCAGAGAGCACCAAGGATCCCACAGTCTTCCTTCTCTCCCTCCCCTCCTCCTCCTCCTCCTCCTCTTGATGATATTACCTAGTTGGGCATGAAACGTCTGCAAGAAAACCCCCAAGTTCAGAGAGCAGCGAGGATCCCTACTTAAGTTGTTTATACAAGTAGTCCTAAAGTTACGACTGCAATGGAGCTTGCTCACTGTGTTCATAAGACTTAACCGATGTTTTTTGTGGTGGTCACTAAGCAAACATGGTGATCATAAAACAAATACCATGGTCATTACGTGAATGCCGCGGCTGACAAATGAAGTCATGGTTTGCTATGGCACAAACCCGGAAAAAGCCCTGGTTTTCGGCAAAACCATAGTAAACGCAGTCACATGACCGGAGGAGGCTGCAAGCCACCTTATATGCAGCCATACTGTTGGGCTCCTAAAGTGCAGTCATGTGACAACAGGGAAGGGTGACCACCAGAACTTCTGATCTGAGTTTAAGGCCCCTTTTTTCAGATATTTGTAATTTTTGTCGCTAAGCAAGCAGTTGTAAGTCAAGGACTACTTGTACTTGTCTGAAGGGGGAGAGGGGGTTATTTACACCTGTCTCTCTGTCTGTCTATCTATCTATCTATCTATCTATCTATCTATCTATCTATCTATCTATCTATCTATCTATCTATCTATCATCTATCTCATTATCATCTATATCATCTATCCATCATTATCTATCTATCTATCTATCTATCTATCTATCTATCTATCTATTTATCTATCTATCGTCATCTATCCATCATTATCTATCTATCTATCTATCGTCATCTATCTATCTATCGTCATCTATCCATCATTATCTATCTATCTTATCTATCTATCTTATCTATCTATCTATCTATCTATCTATCTATCTATCTATCTATCTATCTATCTATCTCATTATCATCTATATCATCTATCCATCATTATCTATCTCATTATCATCTATCTATCTATCTATCTATCTATCTATCTATCTATCTATCTATCTATCTATCTATCTCTCATTATCATCTATCTATCTATCTATCTATCTATCTATCTATCTCATCTATCCATCATTATCTATCTATCTATCTATCTATCTATCTATCTATCTATCTATCTATCTATCTATCTATCTATCTATCTACAGTATCTATCTATCATCTATATCATTATCATCTATATCATATATCCATCATTATCTATCTATCTTATCTGTCTATCTATGTCTATATATCTATATTTATCCATCATTATCTGTCTGTCTCTATATCTGTATCAAGTATCATCCATAGTTATCTATCCATCATCATCTATTCATCTTTCTATCCCATTTTTGCATTTTTCTTTCACTTTGCCTTTTTGATTCTTTACTTTTCATATATTCATTCATTCATTCATTCATTCATTCATTCATTCATTCATTCATTCATTCATTGAGAGAATTTATATGGCCGCCTATTCACTTTCAGTGTCCCTAGGTGCCTTACAATTTTTCCTCACTTGCCTGCTAAGTTTATCTTTGCACTTGTAAACTTTTAATAAAATTATTACGGAAAAAAAGAGGGGAATATCCAAGGCTTCTCACCTCCAGACGTCGTTCAGCTCGGTGGGAACCAGTTCTCCTGATTCGCTCTCGATGGTGGCAAAGCCACCAATTAAATAGAGGGTGCCAGCAAGGCTGATGAGGCTGACGGAGCTGCGTTCTTGCGGGAAGTCAACAAAAGGTTCCCATCTATCGAGATGCAAAAGAGAAAAGACACCCATTTTTTTTTCTAAAAAAAGGAGCCTCCAACTCAAATCATTCTGAAGGCCTCATGAGGACTAGCTCCTTAGCTTGCGTGCAATGACATTCGTGCCATTTGACATGAGTCAAAAATGTTATGTGCTGTATTCATTATTGTAGGGGAGGCAGTTCTGAAGATCTTTGTCCTGTAAAAAACTAGCTAGGAATTGTGTGTCAGCCCTCCTATATAAATACAACAAAATGAACTAATTCTACTTATTCTACGGCAGTGGTTCTCCACCTGTGGGTCGGGACCCCATTTGGGGTCGAACGACCATTTCACGGGGTCACCAAACAACCCAGTCCGCCATTTCTTCCCCCCTTTTCCTTAGCTGTGCTCCTCCCTTTTATTCTATTGGCTTTTGAAAGCCAATAGAATAGACTCTCTTGAATAGAGTCTAATTCTATTGGCTTTCCAAAGCCAATAGGAATTGTCCAGGCTGTCTCTGCCCTGCTGAGCCCGTCAAAAGCCCCATTCTGCAAACGGTGCTGCACCAGTTGAGTAGTCCTCGACTTACGACCGGTTGGGGGTCACAGCATTAAAAAGGTTGAGAACCACTGTTCTACGGCAACATTACGAGAATCTTGCACGTCTGAAGGCACAAACGTCCAGCTGCCCTTTTAACTACTTGATGCATTCGGATGTCTCCTTCCTGAATTTCTTTTTCCAACTAGTGGTTAAACAACTAAGGGCTCCTGACTCTCTTATCTAACATTTATTTTCTACAGGGGGAAAGTGCTTCCTTTCCTGGCAGATAGAAAGTGGGAGATGATGAGTTCTAGTCCCACGTTAGGCACGAAAGCCAGCTGGGTGACTTTGGGCCAATCACCAGGAGTTGGTTAGTTCTAGTGCCGCCTTAGGTATGAAAGCCAGCTGGGTGACTGGGCCAATCACCAGGAGTTGGTGAGTTCTAGTGCCGCCTTAGGTATGAAAGCCAGCTGGGTGACTTTGGGCCAATCACCAGGAGATGGGGAGTTCTAGTCCCGCTTTAGGCATGAAAGCCGAATGGGTGACTGGGCAATCACCAGGAATTGGTGAGTTCTCTTCCCGCCTTAGGTATGAAAGCCAGCTGGGTGACTTTGGGCCAATCACCAGGAGTTGGTGAGTTCTAGTGCCGCCTTAGGTATGAAAGCCAGCTGGATGACTTTGGGCCAATCAACAGGCAACGGTGAGTTCTAGTGCCGCCTTAGGTATGAAAGCCAGCTGGATGACTTTGGGCCAATCAACAGGCAACGGTGAGTTCTAGTGCCACCTTAGGTATGAAAGCCAGCTGGGTGACTGGGCAATCACCAGGAGTTGGTGAGTTCTCTTCCCGCCTTAGGTATGAAAGCCAGCTGGGTGACTTTGGGCCAATTACCATGAGACTGTGAGTTCTAGTCTTGCCTTAACCACGAGAGCCAGCTGGATGACTTTGGGCCAGTCTTTTTCTCTCAGCCCAGGCCCACCACACAGGGTTGTTGTGGGGAAAATAGGAGAAGGAAGGTATGTTGGATCTGTTCCCTGCCTTGAGTTATTTGTAAAAATAATAAAAGGCCTGTTATAAAGAAATGAAATGAATAATAAGCAATGCAACTGCATGAAAAACAAATTGCAGGTTGATTCACAGGCCCTTCCAGATTAGGCCTTCGGGACACTGTGCAGCCTGAGGTCCCACTTACTTATCCGTTGCAATATCGTAAACTTCCACGGAGCTGGTCAAACCAGAATCGGTCACTCCTGCTGCCACGTAAATTTTGCCGTTGTGGACCGTGGTCCCGAAGAGAGAACGGGCGATTTTCATAGGTGACCGTTCCTTCCATTCAAACTTCTTGGGGTTATACACTGTCAAAGCATTCAGACATTTTCTGCAGAAGAAAAGGAGGGGAAAAAAAATAGGTTTGCAAAGCATGAACTAAATTACTGTTGTTATCTTTATTATAATCTTTATTATTATCTTTATTATACAGGTAGTCCTCGACTTACGACCACAATATAGCCCAAAGTTTCTGTTGCCTGAGCAAAACAGTTGTTAAGTGACTTTTGCCCCATTTTATAACCTTTCTTGCCACAGTTGTTAAATGAATCACCACAGTTGTTAAGTTAGCAACATAGTTGCTGCAACCGTCATAAATATGAATCAGTTGCCAAGCATCTAAATATGGAACACGTGACCATCACATGACCACCTGCAATGGTCATAAGTGTAAAAAACGGTCGTAAGTCACTTTTTGCAGGGACAATAATAATGTACTCTCTAAATTTAAACGAATAAATAAATAGCAATACTTAAAATCCCTTAAAATCCTAACAATTCAAAAAACCCAGAGTAGATAGTCCTCAACTTACCAGCATAGCTGGGACCAGAATTTCTGTTATTAAGCAAGACAACTGTGTAGTGAGTCACACCCAATATTATAACCTTTTTTCTCCAAGGTAAAATCACTGCAGTCCTTAAGTGAATCACGTGGTTATTAAGCAAATCCACCTTCCCCATTGACTTTGCTAGTTGGAAGCGAGCTGGGAAGGTCACAGAGAATGGTGATGGCATGACCACAGTTGTCAATAAATACACACCAGTTGCCAAATTCCTGAACTTTAATCACGTGAGTTCAGGGATGCTGTAATGGTTGTAAATGCGAGGATAAGTCATTTATGTTTTCTGTTTGGGTTTTTTTCCCCCCCGTAAACTGTTCAGAGTCTTTGTGAGTTGGGGAGACCTATAAATTATCATTTATGTTACACCTTTACAAAGTCATAACTTTGTAAAGATCATAAAGTTATAAGGCTGGAAGGGAGGCAAGTTGTTTCACTGGTTAATTTTCCTCACTGTCAGGAGTTTGCCTCCATATCTACAGCTGAACTTTCCTTCCTTCCTTCCTTCCTTCCTTCCTTCCTTCCTTCCTTCCTTCCTTCCTTCCTTCCTTCCTTCCTTCCTTCCTTCTTCTCTTCCTCCCTCCCTCCCTCCTTTCCATCCTTCTTCCTTTTTCTTTATTTCTCCTCCCTCTTTCCTCTTTCCTCTTTATTTCCCTTCCTCTCTCCCCTCCTTCTTTCCTCCCTCCTTCCCTTATTCCCTCCCTCACTCCCTTCTTCCTTCTTTCCTTCCTCTCCCTCCCTCCCTTCCCTTCCTTCCTTCCTTCTATCTTCTCTCCCTCCCTTCTGTCCTTCCTTCTTTCTTCTTTCTTTTTCTTTATTTCTCCTCCCTCTTTCCTCTTTCCTCTCCTCTTTCTTTCCCTCCCTCCCCTCCTTCTTTCCTTCCTCCCTCCCTTGCTCCTTCCTTCCTTCCTTCCTTCCTTCCTTCCTTCCTTCCTTCCTTCCTTCCTTCCTTCCTTCCTTCTACTCTCCTTCTCTCCCTTCTTTCCTTCCTTCTTTCTTCTTTCTTTTTCTTTATTTCTCCTCCTTTCCTCTTTCCCTCCCTCTCTCCCATCCTTCTTTCCTTGCTCCCTCCCTCGCTCCCTCCCTCATTCCCTTCTTCCTTCCTTCCTTCCTTCCTTCCTTCCTTCCTTCCTTCCTTCCTTCCTTCTATCTTCTCTCCCTCCCTCCCTTCCTTCCTTCCTTCCTCCCTCCCTCCCTCACTTCCTCCCTCCCTCCCTCCTTCCTTCCTTCCTTCCTTCTATCTTCTCTCCCTCCCTCCCTTCCTTCCTTCCTCCCTCCCTCCCTCATCCTTCCTCCCTTCTTCCCTCCCTCCTTCCTCCTCCTTCCTTCCTTCCTTCCTTCCTTCCTTCCTTCCTTCCTTCCTTCCTTCCTTCCTTCCTTCCTTCCTTCCTTCCCTCCTTCTCTCTTTCTCCTTTCTTCCTTCTTTTTAAACTCATTGAATTGTAGGGCTGGAAGGGACCTTGGAGGTCTTCTAGCCCAGCCCCAGCTCAAGGCAGGCTACCTTACTGCATTTCAGACAAATGGCTGACCAATCTTTTCTCGAAAACCTCCAGCTACAGAGTCCCTCCTACAACCTCAGGAGGAAAACTGTTGCATTGATGAATGAATTTCAGTAATCTGTAAATCAAAAACATACCTGTCCTTCCCTTTGCCTCCAATGGAGTAAACCAGGTCATTGTGGGACACCACCCCGTGACCATAGACGGCATATGGGAGAGAGTCTGCTTCCCCCCACTTGAAGGATCTGAAAGAGAGAAGAGAAGTTGAATTGGGAGGGGGGCAAGGTCTGGTTTCCCCTTTTCTGGGGGGGGAACACAGCAAACCTGCAGTTTTGGCAGTCTTGTGGTGCATCACACGTTAACCAATGTAGTTTTGTGCTTGGTGGTTTTCTTTCAGACATTTCATGACCCAACTAGGTAACATCATCAGTGCTAGAAGGGGGTGGGGTTTGTGGAGAGGAGGAAGGGGAGGAAGGACTGTGGGGTCCTTGGTGCTCTCTGAGCTCTCTTTTCTTGCAGACGTTTCACGACCAAACTAGATAACATCATCTGTGCACTGGCTGGTAATGTTTGCTAATGAAACATCTGTGAGAAAACAGCCAAGCTCAAAGAGCACCAAGAACCCCACCCATCGTGGCTTGTTTGTCGTCACCAGGGTGTCACTGGGTTTTATTGGGGTTTGCATCTGGAGTTTTATTTCTGTAATCCGGCTGGAATCACCACGAGTGAGAAATTTGGGTGGCTGAGTAAATTTCCTTTCTAAATAAATAAAAATAAATAAATATTAGGAGGAAATAAATTAACTGAAAGAAATAAATAGACCGGGGGGTCCAGGAAACCGAAATTTGGCTGCAATGACCAAAGGCTACATTTTTGGATAGGCATAAGTGAGGATGGAGTGGATAGAGATACCAATCAGCCTCAGTTTCCCCCTCGTTACTCTCAGTTCCGGGCTCCCCATTTATTCTCCCTGTGAAAATCAATACAGGTAGTCCTCGACTTACAGCCACAATTTAGCCCAGTGGTTCTCAACCTGTGGGTCGGGACCCCATTTGGGGTGGAACGACCATTTTACGGGGGTCGCCAAACAACGCAGTCCGCCATTTTTTCCCCCTTTTCCTTAGCTGTGCTCCTCCCTTTTATTCTATTGGCTTTTGAACACCAATAGAAGAGACTCTCTTGAATAGAGTCTAATTCTATTGGCTTTCAAAAGCCAATAGGAATTGTCCAGGCTGTCTCTGCCCTGCTGAGCCCGCCAAAACTCCCATTCTGCAAACGGTGCTGCACCAGTTGAGTAGTCCTCGACTTACGACCAGTTGGGGGCCGCGGCATTAAAAAGGTTGAGAACCACTGATTTAGCCCAAAACTCATGTTGCTAAGTGAAACATTCGTTAAGCAAGTTTTGCCTCATTTTACGACCTTTCCTGATGCAGTTGTTAAGTGAATCCCTGAAGTTGCAAAGTTAGTCACACAGTCGTTAAGTGAATCCGGCTTCCCCGTTGACTTTGCTTGTCAGAAAGTTGCAAAAGGGGATCACGTGACACCAGGACACTGCGATGGTCATAAATATGAGCCAGTTGCCAAGCGTCTTGAGTTTTGATCACGTGAATGTGGGGGATGCTACAATGGTTGTAAGGGTGAACAATGTCCATAATCACTTTGTTCAGGGCCATTGTAACTTTGAACAATCACTAAGAGAACTGTTGTAGATTTGGTACTCACAGCCGGTCATAACACAGAACGGAGTCCAGGATCTCTTCGCCTTCCTTTAATTCTTTTCCCCCGACCACAAAAATGGAGTTTTCCGCTTCTCCGAGTCCGAATAGGCAACGGGGGGATGGTATCGGGGGCATTCCCAGCCAGTCTGAATCGAGGTGGTCGTACTGCCGGGGAAAGAGAAGACAGTCGTGGGAAAACTCTGTCCTATGAAAGCAGCCTCATCCTTTCTTTGAAGCTATTCTGCTGGATTTCTGACTAGGTAGTCCTCAACTTACGACCACAACTAAGCCCAAAATTTCCATTGCTAAGTGAGACAGTTGTTAGGTGAGTTACTTTTGCCCCCTTTCACGAACTCGTTAAGCGAATCACTGCAGTTGTAAAGTGAGGAACACACTTGTTTTGTGAATCTGGCTTCCCTCATTGACTTTGCTTGTCAGAAGGTCACAAAAGGGCGCTGCAACCGTCATAAATAGGAGTCGTTTGCCAAGCATTTGATCACACGATTGTGTTGACGCCACAAAGGTCATAAGTGTGAAAAATGCTCATAAGTAATTTCTTCAGTGCCATTGTTACGGTCACTAAATGAATGGTTGTCTGTTGAGGACTGAGAATGATGGGTTAATTCTAGTTTGAAGGGGAGCCTTGTTTGGAGACCAGGGAGCAGATTGAGAGGGGGACGGTATGCTGTGGGGTCCTTCACAAAATGGCTGACTTGGAGGAAGGCTTTTGTTTCATGTCCTAGTGGTTGCTGTCAGGGCAGCCACGGGGGGGTGGGGGTGGGGTGGGGTCAAAAAAGTCAAGATGGCAGGCCTGCCTTTGTGCACCCCATAGAGTAAAAATGATAGAGTTTTGATCATACATTCATGAAACCTATGTTGACTTTTTTGTCTCAACTTTATTATTATTATTATGGATCATCGCATAGTCAGCCAGATGTTCAGACTGGATTTGGCATTTTGTCTACCTATCGAGTCCTTACCCAGGACCTGGGATAGGCAGATGTGGATGTTTGATGGTATTACAGGTATCGTCGCAGGATGGAAGCAGTTCCTAGTAAGGCCGCCTTTTGCAATTGACTAATAGCGAATTTGTCAATGCCAATGGTGTTCAAGTGGTGCTCCAGTTGTTTTGGGATTGCACCCAAGGAGCCTATTACTATTGGTACTACCCTTGCTTGCTTTTGCCACAGTCTTTCTATTTCTATTTGTAGGTCTTTGTATTTTGTTATCTTCTCCAGTTCTTTCTCGTCTATTCTGCTGTCTCCAGGCACTGCCACGTCCACTATCCAGACTTTTTTGTCTTTCTTATCAACAATATTATTATTATTATTATTATTATTAAAATGTCTATTTTTAAAGGCAAATTGATAATGTTGCTTCACACCTTTCTTGGTTGCTAAGTCTCTGTGGTAAAAAAAATCAAAATGGTGGTTGCAACAATCTGAGCAGCTTTGATCACACTACTGCCATCTTGACTTTTTTGACCACAGATAACTTTTTTGTTACCGAGAACCCTGATGATCACTTTCCAAAAATGGATGTCCTTCCTAAAAAGGGTTGAGCTGCTCCTGCAATTTTTGAATTTTTGAATAAAACTGTAAAACTGTGGTTTTCAACCTCTGCAGCTTTAAGACTTGTGTGAATGCTGGCAGATAGATAGATAGATAGATAGATAGATAGATAGATAGATAGATAGATAGATAGATAGATAGATAGATAATAGGAAATAGATAAAAGATTATGAATATTATATGATAAATGATAGATATAGATGAGAGATTGATAGATAGGTGATAGATAGATAGATAGATAGATAGATAGATAGATAGATAGATAGATAGATAGATAGATACAGTAGATAGATAGATAGATAGATAGATAGATAGATAAATAGATAGATAATGGGAAATAAATAAAAGATTATGAATATTATATAATAGATGATAGATATAGATGAGAGATTGATAGATAGGTGATAGATAGATAGATAGATAGATAGATAGATAGATAGATAGGTACAGTAGATAGATAGATAGATAGATAGATAGATAGATAGATAGATAGATAGAAAGATAGATAGATAGATAGATAGATAGATAGATAGATAGATAGATAGATAGATAAAAGATTATGAATATTAAATGACAGATGATAGATATAGGTGAGAGATTGATAAATAGATAGGTGATAGATAGATAGATAGACAGACAGACAGACAGACAATAGATAGGAGATAGATAAAAGATGATGGATATTAAATGATAGATGATAGATATAGGTGAGAGATGATAGATAGATAGATAGATAGATAGATAGATAGATAGAGATAATAGATGATAGATAATAGACCAAAATCAAGATGATAGATAAATAGATATATAGAGACAGACAGACACATTTGAGGGAGAGAGAGATCATTCTTGGCTAGAGCAATATCTTTCTATTTATCTTTTTGTATTTTCAAGAACACCAGGGTTCCATCTGAATATCTGATGAGATACAGCAAGGGAAGATTATGATTGTCAGTTTCCACAGCATTTGGCTGTCACCTGTTGAAAACAGCACCCTGGGACAGACAGACATTTGTCTTGATCCGGAGGGACAGTTGTTGCATTCTTGACAAATTAATAATATTCCACGCAAGGGAAAGTTGGCGTGCGTTACAATTATGTAAGAATCTCTCTCTCTCTCTCTCTCTCTGTCTCTCTCTATCTCTCTATCTCTCTATCTCTCTCTCTTTCATCCTAGTTGAATCCCCCTCCAAAGCAAGTCTAGGAGACCTCCCAAACCGTAAGACCCCCGGATCCATGCCAAAGCCAAGATAAACTTGATACCTGTAAGAAATAAGAATTCATTGGATCCTCCTTGTCATCTTCATTGAAGTAAAGTCCACCAGCTATAAAAATCTGATTTTCTCGCGTGACCAGGCTAACATGGTTCTTAGGAATCTGAGCAGAAAGGGAGGCAAAATAACATTCGTTGGCCCCCGGGTCATAAGCCACAGCTCCTGAGTCACTAATCATGAAGATTAAATCTTGAAGGAACATCCCAAAACGCATCGTATCGTTCAATATCCCTGGTAGGGTCTCCTCTTCTTTCTCAATCTCTTCTTCATCCAATTGTCCGTTGACAATCTGGTCCTCGTTTTTCTTCTCTTTCTTCTGCTTCACCACTGTTAGTTTCCCCTCGTGAGCATCTTTCACCAACTGGATCTTCTTGAGAAGGTCTGGGCTGGATTTGATCACAGTGTTCTTCTCCACCTTGTCGCTGAAATAAGCCTTGTCCAGTAGACGAAAGCGGATGCTTTCGAAGACCACTGGAAGTGCCTTGACCCGGCTGTCCCGGTCTTTGGCTGTGGCCCATTTCATGACCACCTCAAAGACCAATTCTTCCTTCTCAATGTTGAGGGAATCGCTGGAGATGATCGCAATCAGCTCATCAGGAGAGAGCTGGCAAAACTCTTCATCGCGGGAGACAAGCGAGAACCGGTCACAAATGAAGTCACGGGCAGCTACCGCCAAACGGGCACAATCCAGCATCAATCCTAGTCTGAAGATGGCTAGACAGTTGCTAAGACAAAGCCTCTTCTGAAGGAAGGAGACGCAGACAGTGAAAATAGAAGGGATCTGGAACATGTTGGCTACTGAGAAGATGTCCTGAACGTTCTGCTCTGTGAGCTCCAGCTCCGAGGTGTAGATGTAATGGAGGATCTTACTCATTACCTCTGGATCCACATCTTCTAAGTTGACTTCCTTCTTCTGGCTTTCATCTAGGTCCGAGAGAAACATAGCCCTGAAGTAGGGGCTGCAGGCCGCCAGGACCAATCTGTGGCATGGGAATTCCTTCCCTTTCACTTTCAAGACACAGTCAAGGAATTTCTGATGATCCAACATGTCCTTCAGCCCATCTTGGAGGAGCGTTTGCTGATAAAGACGCATCTCCTCACCTTCTTCCATTGGCCCAGACGTCGCCATGGTGGAAACCTCTTGAGAGTTCCTTGAACCTGAGAAGACCACGTTTGCTTCCTGGAAGAACGCTGAAGGACCTCTTGCTCTGCTGCTAATGCTATCTGCTTGACTTCACATAGCCAGAGGGATTTATATAGAGAAGCATAAATATGTGCATGCGCGCACACACACATATATATAGTTGCAGCATTACAAATCTCTTGAGGACCTCATGTAAGCTGATCACTTTTTAATAGAGGAAACGGGAGGGCTGGGCTTTGGGGGAGGGGATGACACAGAAGGCTGACAGCTGAGTGTGTAACTTTAGCCCATGACCGGAGTGTGTCTCACACCAATGAACATTTTTCTGAAGAATCCCCAGTGAGAAAAATAAGGGTAATGGGGTGAAAATGACAATAAGGCTCCAAAATTGAGAATTCAGCTGATACCAAATATTGCTCAGGAATCAAGAGGAACAGTTTAATCCCACCTTCAGGAAAAAATTGTGCAAATACACGCACATACACACACACACACACAGAGAGAGAGAGAGAGACATGCCAAAGCTCCCTCCTCTTCTTCTAAATCCCCTGAGCTAAAAATATCGAGAGCAGAATAAAACTAGAAAGAAAGATATTTGATCTCTGATGTGGTCAAAAGAAATTGCTGGGAGTCAAGTAGGATTTTGCTTTTCCGCAAAGGTTTGTGAGGAAGGATCACCGTTTTTCTTTTTCGAAATTTGTTTGAGAGGGGAATGCAGATGAAATGAATAAATTAGATTTGTATTTTATGTATTCAATGTAATAATAACATAATATTGTATTATAATATCACCTTATAAGAAAGGAATAAAATGGAATGAGAATAGAATAGAATAGAATAGAATAGAATAGAATGGAATGGAATGGAATGGAATGGAATGGAACAGAACGGAATGGAACGGAATGGAATGGAATAGAATAGAAAATAAGAATAGAACATAATGAAGTAGAAAATAGAATAGAATAGAATAGAATAGAATAGAATAGAATAGAATAGAATAATAGGCTAGGATAGGCTAGGATAGAATAGGACAGAATATAGGATAGAATAAAAGAATAGAATAGAATAGAATAGAATAATTTATTTTTTTGTTTGTTTTATCCTGCCTTTATTATTTTTACAAATAACCCAAGGCAGCAAACAAATCCAACACAACTTCCTCTCCTATTTTCCCCACAACAGCAACCCTGTGAAGTGGGCTGGCTGAGAGAGAAAGATTGGTTCAAGGTCACCCAGCCAGCTTCCATGCCTAAGGCGGGACTAGAACTCAGCATCATCCAGTGATTGGCTCAAAGTCTCCCAGCTGGCTTTCGTACATAAGGTGGAACTAGAACTCACCATCTCCCAGTTTCTATTCTGGTGCCTTAACCACTACTAGACCAGTGCAGAAACCATTTGTGCATTCCTAACAGATGACCATGTGTGTTTTGAAGAGCTTCAACCATCATGTATGACAGGGGTGTCAAACTGCCGGCCTGCAGGCCGGACATGTCACATGGAAGCCGCGACCACCCCATTGCTGGCAATGGCTAAACCGACTCAATACGTTGCGCGACGTCATGTGACATCGCGAGCTTGACATGCCTGATGTACGAGATAAGACCTCACACTAATCCCAAAGCAAACCAGCTTATGACTCAACAGTGTGACTAATGTTAGTCAAGGGGACTCATTCCTCATGTGAGGTGGGATTTGTCATTATCCTGTCTCTTCTTGGTACAATTTCAACTAGATTATTCATTTTCTGGATGACATCTAACTATAGATCCATCGGCAAATTCTAGAAGGTCCAGAGGTTCATTTAGATTCTGTCTCGGCTGTTAGGAACAGTCTTGAATATGGTCATTGCATCCTTGACTAACCATCTTTGCTATTTGATCCCGTTCCTTCAAAGCCAAGGGCCAGCTGACTCAGTTTCCCTGATCAGGAACTCTGGCTACCTGTGTCATGCAGAAGACATAGAACCTAACAAGAAACTTCAGCACCATTATCTTCTTTGGCTGGAGACTCAATAGGATTGTCTATAATCTTCAAAGACAAGTAGTCCTCAGCTTATGACCGCAACAAAGCCCAAAATTTCCATTGGTAAATGAGACAGTTGTTAAGTATTTTGGTCCCCACTTTACAATCTTTTTGCCACAGTTGTTAAGTGAATCCCTGCAGTTGTTAAGTTAGTCACATGGTTGTTAAGTCAGCCTGGCTTCCCCATTGACTTTGCTTGTCAGAAGGTTGCAAAATGGGATCACATGACCCTGGGACACTACAATCGTCATAAATATGAGTCAATTGCCAATTTTGATAATGTGACTATGGGGATACTGTAACGGTCATGTGAAAACTGACCATAAGTCACTTTTTTTTAGCGCTGTTGTAACTTCGAATGGTCACTAAATGAATGGATGTAAGTTGAGGACAATTTGCGTGGCAACATGGCAGTCTGTCTGTTGGAAAGCAAAAGTCCAGTTTGCTCTCTCCAGCTGGAAAGACGAAATTGGCACGGACAAAACGAGAAGATGGGAAAGCAAGCTGCTGGGAAAGGAGGTTTCTTTATTTTGGAAGCCAGAAACTGCAGTGACAACAGTGTTGGGTTTTGGGTCAGCCAACAACCTGGTCTGGTGAGTGGATGGCTTTTATATTATTTTGGGGCTATGTGATTGAGATTTCTGAGCTTGTTGGGCCATAGTTTCAAGTGTATATCTTTGGTTATTCTAATTGTGGTGGCTTGGTTTCCATTGTGGCTGGAAACCATGGTCTGTCCTTGAGGTCAGGTGAGGAAATGCAAGTTTTAGGTGTCTTTTGTTTCTCTGCTTTTTTAATTCAATCAATTCCAGCCTTCTGTGGAAGCTTGTAGCTGAAGGCATTTTGTTTATGAATGGAACAGTTTGTTGAACTAAATATCCATTCACAGAGCTGAACCACTTGAGTTTATTTTATTTCAAGGAAGACTTTTCTCTTCCAGAGGGGTGGGGTGGGGGCATTATTTTGCTAGTAGGGGGGCTTTCTTATATTAAAAGGAGTGGGTGAGGATTTTCCCTACATGTCTTGAGTTGTGCATGTAAGTCTGTAAGTTCAGTTTGCAGTGCAATCTTGAGTTTTGTTGAGGGTGGACTTCACTTCAGGAATTTGCAGGAGGTATCATTAGACAAATTCTGGTTCCAAAGATGCCTGTAGGAGATGGTCAAAGAGCTCGAGATGGCAGTTACGAGGCTTTGCCTGTGCAATGACTATAAAAAACATTGATTCTAGGCATGGCCACCATTTTGAATTTTTTTGACTGTATGCTGTACACACACACACCAGCTCTTTGGAATAATCCTCATTTCCACATGGGCATCCAAACTGGGAGAGAAGGAGGGAATGAAGAAAGGAAGGAAAAAGAAAGAATAGAAGGAAAGAAGGAAAGAGAGGGAGAAAGAAAGAGAAGAGAAGAAAGGAAGGAAGGAATGGAAGGAGGGAGGGAGAGAGGGAGGAAGGCAGGCAGGCAGGCAGGATGGATGGATGTAGGGAAGGGAGGGAGAGAGGTAGGGAGAGAGGGAGGGAGAAAGGAAAAAAGAAAAACATTTTCCAATATTTGCATAAATAAATGTTTTATCTTGGAAAACTGAGCAGTGCAGGAGAACGTTGTCATTCTGCAGCTTTGAGGCACCTAGGTTAAACAAATCTCAGATGCCCTGGAGTTGCATCTTGTTTTTGCCTTTCTTCATTATTCTGCTTTTTGCTTGTCCTTCTCCTCATCTCTTATAGCCAGAATCCGTTCCCTTTCTTTGATCAGTTGCACACCGCAGTATGTGATGAACCAGATCGAGATGGTGGTAAAAGGAAAACCTGAAATGTGACAAAATATGAGAAAGAGAAAATGAATGTGAAAGAAAAAGAGGAAGGGTGAGAGGGAGAGAGGGCAAGAGGGAGAGGCAGTGTGTGTGAGAGAGAGAGGCAGTGAGAGAGAGAAAGAGGGAGAGAGGAAAAGAGGAAGGGAGGAAGAGGTTAGAGAAAGAGGGAGGGAAAGATGGAAATGAACTGAGGGAGGGAGGGAGAAGAAGGGTGGAAAAGAGGGACAGAGGGAGAGAGAAAGAAGGAGAGGGAGGGAAAGGGAAGAAGAGAGTGAGAGGGAGGGAGAGAGGGAGGAGGAAGAATTGGGGAGGGAGAGAGAGGAAGGGAGAGAGAAAAGGGGAGAGGGATGGGAGGGAGAAGGATGGAAGGAGAGGAGAGGGAAGGAGAGAGAAAGAGGGAGGGAGAGGTGGAAAGAAAGGGAGGGAGGGAGAGAGAGGATGGAAGGGTAGCAGGGGAAGAAGGGAGAGAGGAAGGGAGAATGGGAAAGAGGGAGATGGAGAGGGAGAGAAGGAAAGGAGGAAAGGAGAGGAAGAATAGGGAGAGGGGGAGGGAGGGAGAGGGAAGGAGAAGGGAGAAAGGGTCAGAGGGGGAGGGAGGGAGAGAGAGAATAGAAGGGGAGCAAGGGAGAGAGGGAGAGAGGAAAGGAAAGAGGGTGAGGGCAAGAAAGAGGGAGAAAGGAAGGGAGAGAGGGAAAGAGGGAGACGGAGCAAGGAAATGAGGGAAGCACAGAGGGAGGGAGGAAGGGGAGAAAGGGAGGGAAGAAGGGAGAGAGAGAGAGTCAGAGGACACTATTAATGTGGAGTTGGCCTGCCTGGGCTGTCATATCTCTTGACCAACACAAAATTGGACACAAGATGAATATCACATGTGTTCCATTGAGGAAGCGCAAACTTTCCAAGCATTTCCTCTGTAAAGTTTGAAAGGGAACTCAGGTTCAATGAGAGAAGGGATGTTTTGAGTAGAAAAGGCATCCCTGAACTTCTGAAGAAGCTTCAGGGGATGCGTGGCAGTTACTTAGAAGTATAGCAGACCCTCTTCTCCTTGATCAGAAGATGAGTCCTTTCCCACCTTGAACAGAAGCTGCAGGTCCCCAGTAATTCCTAGACATCCGGAAACCAATGCCCGTCAGAATGACATTGACAGATGGAGAGTGAGATTGACAAGTGGATAGGGAAATTGACAAATGGAGAGTGAAATTGACAGGTGAATAGTGAAATTGACAGATGAAGAGTGAAACTGACAAGTGAAGAGTGAAATTGACAGCTGAACAGTGAAGCTGACAGGTGGATAGTGAAATTAATA